CAATCCACAGCTGCATTGCAAGTGTGACACACATGACACGCGCTCTTTGCTTGGTTGAGTGCTCATCAGGCAATCCCGAGATCCTCTCGGCCGTGAAGGGTACACACAGGCAACTCCACTGACAGGCCACCGTCATCACATCACCAAACAGCACACCAGTGTGTGTGTGTGTGTGTGGCTGCATTGCCATCACTCAGGCAAGGTGCGCAATGTGGTGCACGTGGGCAGCGTAGACGAGCCGAGGTCAGCAGCAGCAGCAGCTGGTGCACCCTCACCCGACTTCAGCTCCCTGGCAGTGAGGCCCGACACACAGCAAGGCACCTACCCCACCCGTCCGTCGACCCCCCACATTATAATGCCATCTCACGTCTGTGGTGTCTGTCTGTCTGTCTGTCAGGACTGCTTGGAGGTGCTCAAGGCCGTGGTGGCTTCGTGACGAGCAGCCTTGTGCGAGTGTGTGTGGGTGTGGGTGTGGGAGTGGATTGGCGTGTAGTTTTGTCTCTCTTCTGTACAGCCGGGATGGACGGACGGATGGAGGGATGGCATATTTGTTTGTGACCGACCTGTCAAACCATCTGGCCTGCAGGCCTGGCCTGTTTGTGCAAGGTAACCACCAGCCAGCCAGCCAGCCAGCCATGTCTGTCATTCAATTAGATTGATTACTGTCCAGCCCCACACTGTCTGTCCGTCTCACCCCATTTATTCATCCAGGACCCACTCGCCCGCCCATGTGACTGGCATGCACACCACACCACACCACCCCCCTCACAAAAGCCCCCCATCCCCGCATAGCATACACAGACATTCACACACACCCACACGATAGGCACAGAAGACAGACAGGCAGCATTGGATTCACACGCAGCACCAACACCACCACCACCAGCAGGAAGGACCACGACAGTATTATCTTACAATAGATACAATCAGACAGACAGATAGACAGACAGACAAGTGGTAGGTCAATCAAAACGGCGGCCGTCTGGAATGAGGCTTGTGTGGAAGACAGACAGGCAGGTAGGGAGGGAGGGTGCACGGGAATCGCGTGTGTGTGCGCGCACCCCTCATCCCCCAGTCTTTCTCTCCCTTAATGTGGCCTTCCCCGCCTTGAAACAAGACAGACAGGACAGGCAGACACTTACCAGAAAACACCTGACACAAGCCAAGCCCGCCCGCCAATTAACACCCAGCCAGCCTCTCTCTCTCTCTCTCACTCACACACACACACACACACGCACACACGCACACACGCACACACACGCCTTCGCCTTCAAGCCATTGTTATGGTCACACACACACACACAGAGACACACACACACACACGAATATTTATGAGTAGGCAGACAGACCAGTTGGTTCAGTCAGCCAGTCCGATGAGCATTGCCAGCCAGGCTCCGTCCGTCCGGTTAGAAGATTGCCACAGCGATAAGAGCATTACGATTGACAACGATACAGAGAGAGAGAGAGAGAGAGATTGACAGACAAGGCAGGTAGGCAGGCAGGGAGAGACAGACAGCGTCACGTGCGACCGATTTCACGCCGAGCATCGCGTACGGCAGGAGAAGACGGTCGAACGCGACAGTTTTCCCACGCCGTACGAGAGGCCCTGGTAAAACGGCCGCACGCGAGAGAGAGAGAAGACAGACAGATGGGCAGGCAGTCAGGCAGGTACATCACATCAGTAATACGATCGACCCCCTGGTTCCCTCCCCTGCCAATGCATCAGTGTCAATCCAATCCTGCAGTCAGTCATTCCTCTAGCTATCCTTCCTCCACCCCCGCAGCAACAGCCCCTTACCATCGCCACTGCCCCCCTCCCCCGCCCCCGCCCCCTCGCCGTGCTTGCCGCTGCCCTTGTTCACATAATGCACCGGCGTGACGTAGTTGACGGCCAGCAGCGCCCGCAGCAACGGCACGTTCAGGTAGTAGTCGCACCGCGCAGCAGCCGCCTGGCCCACCGGCTTGGCCTTCGTCTCCCTGCCGTCTCCCTGCTGCTGCTGCTGCTGCTGCTTAGATCGGGTGTTGGCGTCTGGCTGTGGCGGTGTGGGCAGGGGCAGGTCGACGAAGCGCAGGAGGCCCTTCTGCACACACACGGAGAGGGACCGCAGTCCCCGCATCCACGTGGCGAGCACTGCGGGCGGAGGGGAGGAGTGCGGCGCGTTGGAGAGGGACAGCTCCAACAGCCACGCTGCGGAGGACACAGACACACACAGCGAGAGGGAGAGACAGCCATGGAAGCATCCACTCATGTGAAAAGAAGAGTTTCATGGGTCGCACGTACTTGCGACGGCGTCGATGCATTTGGTGTATCTGTGGGCGATGCGGTCCGCCGTGGCCTGCCTGCGGTGTTCCATCTCGGTCAGCTCAGCGCGGTAGTGCCGCAGCATGGCGTCGATCTGCTGCTCCTCCTGCTCCACCTGCCGGCTCCAGCTGCTCTGCGTGTCGATGCCGTCGTGGTGGGGCTCGTGGGTGGGGTCATGGGGATCGTCGTGCGCCTCCTCTGCGTTGTCCACGTCTGCCGCGTGTGCTGCGAGTGGTGTGAGAGAGATGGGGGCGGGGGGCGGGGGGGACGGCGAGGCGCACACCGACATGGATGAGGCTACCGGGGAGGTGTCATCTGCACACACACACACACACACAGAGAGAGAGAGGGGGAGGGAGGACACAATGACCCACATGGATGGGCGTGGGAGTGGGCGTGTGTGAGGCATGACTGCGTCCACACCCACCGAGGGCGACGGTTGTTTCTCGCCCGATAGAGTATCTGCCGCTGGCAGTGGGGCTACCGCCATCCCCACCCCCCTCACCGCCCCCAGTGCCCCCCCTGTCGGCCCGCCGCACCGGGGAGCCCACCACCACAAACCCATCCTCACTGCGATAGTCCATCACGCCGCTGACGCTGCTGTCCTTATCGCTGAACACACCCACACCCGCCCCTCTGTCCCGAGAACCACCACCAGACGTCCCACCACTGGGTGGGACGCCATTATTGTCCCCCCTCCCCCTCTCCTTGCTACTGCTGCTGTTGTTGTTGTTGGCTGTGTTGCCACCGTTGCCACCTGTGAGTCCCCTGAAGCAGGGGAGGCAGCACTGGCAGATTTTGGCGAGGGGGATGGCGAAGGGGGAGGACGACAGAGCGGCCGAGAGGGAGGACGGGATGAACTGCGAGGGGAAGGGGAGCGAGCACTGCGACGGCAGGGAGGGGGGCGACTGGTCGCCGACCGGGGCTGCGGCCGTGGGGGAGTGGGTGTGGGTGTGGGTGTGGGTGTGTGTGGGTGGTGAGGTGGGCGGGAGTGCGGAGAAAAACAGAGGGGGGCTGCTCGAGATGAGGTCCAGCGACTTAGGCGACGGGTGGTAGCTCTCCGGTGCCTCCTCTGGTGCTGCTGACGGCTCCTTCTCTGCCTTTATCTCTATCTGCTGCTCTTGTTTGGCCTCCCCCCCTCCGCCATGGCAGCTGCAGCTGTCCGTCTGGTGATCGATCTCGGCTTGCTCGTTGGGCGCCTCTGGGTGGTCGTTGGTGTGTTGCTGGTCGTCCTCCTGGTAGTGGTGCTGGAGGAGGTTGAGCTGGTGCTTGAGCTGCTCGCGCATGGCCCGTCTGTGGGCCTGCTGCTCTGTCTGCGTGTTGATCCACTCGCGCAGCTTGTCGCACTCCTTGCCCTGCCGCTCGTAGGAGAACAGCAAATCGCTGAACGCCTGCATCTCAACCTGACTCACAGACACACACCATCCACACACACACACACACACACACAGAGAGAGAGAATCCGGCGCTTCTTGCTTACGGTGAGGAATCTGGTCATCATGGCTGCGTGGTGGTTGCGCTTGGGAATGCACCACGAGAGCGGCACCCAGCCGCTGCTCGTCTCGTCCACCAGACAGCGCAGGGACAGCCGGGGACCGCCTCCCGCCGGGTCCAACGTCAAAGGCGAGTTGGCGAAGAAGTGAATCCTGAACGCAACGCACCAAACAAACAAACAAACACGCCAATCTCTCTCTATCGGTGTGTGTGTGTGTGTTGATGGTGCCGTGCTGTGCTGGGGCTTACTGACCATACGGGCGCGGCCCTGACTTTGTCTGAGACGGGCAGCATGTGCAGCGACCGTGCCTTGGCGGGCGAGAGGACGCGCCCGGACCGGAAACGGGTCTTACGGGGGTTGAACGGCTCTATGCATGCGATCGTCAGAAAGTGCTCTGCAAACACACACACACACACACACACACACACAGAGAGAGAGAGAGAGAGAGAGGCCATGATGCCATGCCAGCACGGTGTTCTTTCTTCTGGCTGTCCGACGGCTTGCCTACTCAGCAGGCTCTGCGGCTCGAACGGCGCGGCAGCGATGAGCCAGTGCGCGCCCCACCTCATAGCCAGCCTTCTCCTCTCCCACCCGTTGAACCTTTGCACACTCACGTTGCCCCCCTCATCCGCAGCGTCAAACGTCTCACGCACCGTCAGCACGCGGCGCGCGTGCTGGTAAGACTGCAGGGGCATCTCGCGGTTGCCCCGCTCCTCCCACCGGGCCTCGCCCGTCGCCCGCGAGTAGATGACGTACTTGTACGAGAAGGGGCGCACGCTGTCGGGGGCCAGGTCGATGGTGGCCTGCCACCGGGGGAACAGGGAAGGGTCGGTGCTCATCGGCAGGCCCTGCTTGGGCGTCCAGGAACCGAACAGGGGGCTGGAACCGACCAGACGAACGTCCTGCCCAACCTGCACACCACACCACACACCGTCAAGTGAAGCCACGTGACGTGAAGCCACGCATGCGATAGATATGATGCGATCCAATGAATGAGTGAAAAGGTCGATGTTCATGTGTGTGTGACGTGTTGTGTTCTCTTCTGACCTGTGTGTCTGCACAAGTGACTACGAAGCGGATACGGGCCCATCCTGGCAGGGGGGACGACGCCTCAAAGGCCCCAGGAAGGTCGACAAGGTCGTTGCGGCATATCGCCTCCTGCGTATGCACAGCACAGCACAGCGCACCGCAGCGACAGAACATCGAACACCGTCAGACAGCGTCAAACAGAGCCACTTCCGCTGGTGGCTGCCCTGCCTCGCCTGCATTGCTTACGAAGCTGAGTGCGTCCCTCCATCGCGTGGATACCCGCCGGAGCCTGACGAACTGCACGCCCTCTGCAGCGACTGCGGAGCTCTGCAAAAACCCGTCAGGGCACGGCAGACCGCCGCTGTCGCTGCTCATGAGCTGGGCAGCTCACTGCACAAGGTCACTGGCAAGCCGCCGGCCGCCTAGGACATTCCGTGAAACTGCACGCGCGAGAAGGTCGGGACGAGAAGGTGGGATTTTAGACGGCGAGAATGACCCTCGCTGCTCGGACAGCCCTCAGTGGGTCGCGGCAGGGCGTCAAATTGCCTTGTGCCGGCGTGTCATGTCGGCTGCAGGCGATGGGGTTCTCCGGGCACTACGACGGGCCGGTGTTCAGCCACCGCCGCATGCCCTTCCACGGGTCGGGGCTGGTGGACACCGAACGGCGCGGCGACCCCCCTGCCTCGGCTGACCCATGCTTCCGCAACGAGTTCATCCAGCAGGTACATACAGTAGGCCACTCACACACACGCGTAACTAGATTATGACGGACAGATCCACCCCCCTGTGTGTGTGTGTGTGCGTGTGTGGTTGGCTGCAGGACCCTGCCAAGCACGAGGCGGACTGGAAGTACGGCCCGAAGATCGCGCCTGCGTACGACCTGCCGTCGCTCATCACGCCGTCTGGCGACCCGCACCAGATGTCCAACACGTACCTGGTGCTCTTCTGGAAGTCCATGTACCGATACACCCACTACAACATGATCCGGGAGCCAACATTCCCCAGAGAACCCGACCTCACCAGGGTCAGACACACACACGGCTTGGCGGCACTCTCTACGTCGCTCGACCTCTGCTGCCTGTCTGTCTGTCTGTGTGTCGTGTGTGACCGTGTTTGTCGGTTCGGTGTGCAGGGTGAGTTGGCTGCCGGTGCGACGGTTACGCGCACGTCGGTGTGGCATAACCCGAACGAGCCGGCCATCCAGTCAATCAAGAAATTCCACCCCGACTACTTCCGCCCCGTCGGTCTGGCGACCACGGCGCCCAACCCCACCGACTATGGCTTCCCGGGGATCGGCGACTTCCGAGACCAGCGGCTGCCGCGCGGACACGCCGACCGACGGCCCTGGTACTACTTCTGCCTCGCTGCATCCACCATGGTCATGGGGTCGCTAATCCGCGGCTTCGTCGTCAAGCTCAACTACCAGCTGTGGATCTCACGCGTGAGTGGCAGGCAGGCAGGCAGGCAGGCAGGGAGAGAGGGAGGCAGGGGTGAAGGGGATGATTGCCGGACCATGGACGGCATGGACGGCTGTGTTGGTCTGTCTGTCTGTCTGTTCATGTGTGGTACGTATGTGTGAAGGATATGGAGGCCTTGGGGAATGTCGAGGTTGACACGAGCCAAATCATGCCTGGCCAAAACTACACCACCCGCTGGCGCGGCAAACCCATCTTCATCAGACGCAGGACACCCGAAATGATCGCCGCTAGCCGGTAGGTACCCACTCCCCCTCCCACCTCAACTCGCTCCTGCACACGTGCGTGTGTGTATTGATGTGATGGCATGCAGTGCGGACGACTCGCACTGCAAGTCTTTCAAGGACCCCGCGACGGACGCCGAGCGGTGCCCCAACCCCGAGTGGCTCATCGTCCTGGGCGTCTGCACCCACCTGGGATGCATCCCACACGCTGATGCGGGCATGTGGCACGGCTTCTTCTGCCCCTGCCACGGATCGCACTACGATCATGCCGGTAAAACAGACAATGAATGAATGAATCACCACACACACACACACACACGGACCGCACGAACCGAGAAAGAAACACTCGTGTGTTCTGTGTGTTGCCTTTCTTTGCTGCATTGCTTCATTTCATGCAGGCCGTATTCGTGCTGGCCCTGCGCCGACCAACCTGGAGATTCCTGAGTACGAGTGGGTCAGTGACACCGTCATTAAATTGGGGACGGACTGAGTGATCGGTCAAGGAAGGGATCGTCTAAGTGTGTGCGGAGGGAGGGAGGGCGAGGGAGGCTGGTGTGGTGTGCTTCGGTAGTGGGTGAGGGGCTGAGGGCTGAGTATTTCGTGTCTCTCCAGCGGCGGGTGGTTTGATTGATGTGTGCACATGCGCACCATGACGCACGCTGTGGCACGTGTCGTTCCTTCGTCGACGGTCTTGTCTGCGGCTCCTGAGGCGCATGGAGAATGCGCCTCGGTGCGACAGGCAAGGCCATGGACACAGGAAACGGCGTGTCTGTGGCGGCTTGTCATTCTGGGTGGATCCATGGTTGGCTGTGGGTGAGAGCCTCTGCCTGCCTCCCTGCCTGCCTGCCTGTATGCTCGTCTCGGTTGGTTGCTCTGCTTTCGAGAGAAGTGAAGTGAACCACACACATGAGTGTCGGGCTTCAGCCGAGGGAGGGACAGAGGGATTGAGCGAGCAATGGCAAGAAATGCCATAATTTGTTTGTACCATCGTCGGTGCGTGAGAGCGTCAAGTGCATGGGAGTGTGTGGCGGTGCATGTCCGCGTCAGGCCGGACCTATGTGTGTGCGGACAGATGCGTGTGACTGAGTGATGGTGATGGGGGTCACGCAACTTTTTCACCTGTGCATGCGTGGCGGAGAGACTCCATTCATTCACTCGCATCACCTCAAGCGTCCAATTTCTCACGAGAAAACATAGGTCGCATTACTACACATTTCTCAGCTGGCAACGGTGCATTGCACACACACACACACACACACACAGGAGGGCACTCAGCCCTTCCCCCTTGGTCCTTAGCCACTCACTCGGTGCTTGCACCGATCCCCCGTCTCAAATGAGCTGCCGGCCAGCTCCCGCAGCCTGTCGATCAGGTCCCGCAAGCCCGCCTTGCCGTCAGCAGCCTGCGGCGCATCATGCCGCCGGTAGAACGACAGGGCGAACCGGACCGCATGGGGCTCCGCTTGCAGAAACCGCCCGTGGGCCACCCGGTCCTTCAGACGCTTGAACAGCCGCACGACGTCCAGCACCGCCACCACGGCCGGCTGCTCAGACTGCCCGCTGCCCACTAAGGCGAGGGACGTCAAGAGGAATGCCTGGCGCCTCTCGCCCCTCCTGCTGCCGTGTGGGGCCTCTCGGATGTGCTGCTCGTCCAGCAGGATGGAGCGGGTCTTCATGGGCAGGGCTTGAGTGACAAAGAAATCGAACAGTGGGAAGAGGGTGGCGCAGGTGATCTTGCCACGGCAGCAGACGGACCGTGTGGTGGGTATGGGGGGTATGGGGGGGAGAGGGGGGTGGGGCGCGATGGCGGGGCTGTGTGTGGGGCTGGAGGGAGGGGGGCTGGTACGCCCGCAGTGGAAGAGGTAGAGCTGCATGAGCTCCGTGAACTTGCACCGCCCGTACAGGCCACCGCCTCCGTAGCTGCTGCTGGCGTCCACAATGCCCTCCATTTCGGCAAGGGGACCTGCACACAGACAGAGAGAGAGAAAGCAGAGGCCGGCACTTGTGTGTATGGGTGATGTGTCTGCTGGTCTATGTCTGCCAGTCTAACATACCTACCTTTGATGAAGAAGTCGCCAACCGGGTTTTCTTCGAAGCCTGCCTCACTCTCCTTGTACCAGGCCCTCAGCTCCTGGTTATCCGTGTGGACGGCTATCGTCCAGCCAGAGTCCGACTCCGTCATCCCGCCCTCCAGCTCCCTCTCGATCTCTTCAAGCAGCTCGTTGTCATCGTCTTCGGCACAGCCGACAACCACGCTCTGCTCATACCCATCCTCCCTGTCGGCGTTGTCGTCGATCTGGATGCCCAAGTGGGGTGGGTCTGCAGGCTGGCTGGCGCCTGGGACGGAGATCAGCCGTCCGAACACATCGAGTTGGGCCACGGCCTCGGGAAGGGACGAGTGGCCGAAGAGCTGGCAGTCGCTCAGCACTGCCTCGTCCATCGTTATCGGCACACCTGGCAGTCAAACAACACGCGGATGATAAGCGACGTGTGTGTGATGGGCCGGTTTGTGGTGGTCTGTGGTACCTTCGAACTGCAGCGCCATGGCGAGCACCAAGAACAGCTCCCAGCGGCTCCAGTCCCCGAGCTCCTCCAATAGATGAAGGGCTTTAAGCGTGCTAAATTCTGTCGTGATCTTCACAAACCGAAACAGCTCCACACCTTCCGCACGACAGATCACACAGACAAGCAATGATGTGGCGTGCTCCTCCTCTCTCACTCACCGAACCCGTGTGCACGCACGTACCTGACGGGCCAATCTTGCGGGCCCTCTTCAGCTTGGCCGCGTTCTCTGCCAGCCGCCGATGGAGATAAGCGGTCCAATGCCGCCATCCAGCTCCACGCCTCATGGCCATACTCACCCGTCGCACTTCGAACAGAGAGACCACGGGCAGCCATTCCATGATGTCCATGGTGCTCTTGGCGTCTAGATGGCTCAATGAAAGGCGGCTCCCTGTCCGTTGTCTCTTGGGTGACGGTTCTTCCATGGGCTCTTGCATCCTGTGACAGGCACCCTTTCAACAGCTCGCAGCTCGCAGAACTCTGCCAATTTAATAATCCCTTGCCCGTTGGAGCGAAATTAAGTAGAGTGCCTAGAATAAATCAGGGATATGTGTCCATGCGGCACATCCTGCGTCAAGCCTTATGTGCTGCCTTATCACTCGATACACATAGCCCAGACGGACACACGATGAGATACACAGACACAGAACCTAATAAACAGTCCCTCTAAATGATTCGCCGATGAAGTGCGCATTGCCGACAACCACAGCCCCATGCACGCCTCTTTGTTGCAATGTGTGGTGACCGAACAACAGGCGCATCTCGCGGATGTGCCGCGTTACATGTAATGCATTTCATCATTTTTTCTTCTTCTTCTCGTCCTGTTTTGGCTTGCTGCTTGCTTGTTTCTTCTTCTCGTCCTGTTTCTTCTTCTCGTCCTCTTTCTTCTTATCGTCCTCTTTCTTCTTCGCATCCTGGTTTGGTTTGTTGGGATTCGTCTTGGTCGCTGGGGATTTCTTTGTGGTCGATGGGGGCTTCTTTAGCTTCTCCTTGCTGCTCTTGTCCTCCTTTGGCTTCTCCTTGCTGCTCTTGTCCCCCTTTGGCTTCTCCTTGCTGCTCTTGTCCTCCTTTGGCTTCTCCTTGCTGCTCTTGTCGTCCTTTGGCTGCTTCTCCTTGCTGCTCTTGTCGTCCTTTGGCTGCTTCTCCTTGCTGCTCTTGTCCTCCTTTGGCTGCTTCTCCTTGCTGCTCTTGTCCTCCTTTGGCTGCTTCTCCTTGCTGCTCTTGTCGTCCTTTGGCTGCTTCTCCTTGCTGCTCTTGTCCTCCTTTGGCGTCTCCTTATCCTTGTCCTGCTTTGCCTTCTCTTGTTGACGTTCTTGTTTAGCCTCAGCAGCCTTAGCGTCTCTTTCTGCCTTCTTCGTTTCTGATAGACATGACGGAATCGAGATATCTATAGATAGACAGACAGGCATATGGTACCTTTTTCCTCTTGTTTCAGCCGCTGCTCCTCCTCTCGTTTGTCTCGTTTTTCTTTTTCACGGGCGTCTCTATCCTCCTTTTTCTCTTCTTGGCGTTGTTGTTTAGCCTCAGCAGCCGCGTGTTCCTTGACGTCTTTTTCTGCCTTCTTCCTTTCTGATAGACATGACGGAATCGAGATATCTATAGATAGACAGACAGGCATATGGTACCTATTTCCTCTTGTTTCAGCCGCTGCTCCTCCTCTCGTTTGTCTCGTTTTTCTTTTTCACGAGCGTCTCTTTCCTCCTTTTTCTCTTCTTGGCGTTGTTGTTTAGCATCAGCAGCCGCCTGTTCCTGAACCGCTCTTTCTGCCTTCTTCCTTTCTGATAGACATGACGGAATCGAGATATTTATGGATAGACCGACAGGCATATGGTACCTTTTTCCTCTTGTTTCAGCCGCTGCTCCTCGTGCTTGCTATGCTGTTCGTCGGCGTCTTCTGGCTGCTTCTCAGTGACATCTGTTGTTGGCTGCTCCTCGGGAGGGGTCTCTTCTGCTTCAGGCTTGGGGGTCTCATCCGCTTCATACTGCTCTTCCGCTTTAGGCTGCTGCTCCTCGGTGGATGACTTAGGGACCTCTTCTGCTTCAGGCTGCTCCTCGTGCTTGCTATGCTGTTCGTCGGCGTCTTCTGGCTGCTTCTCAGTGACATCTGTTGTTGGCTGCTCCTTGGGAGGGGTCTCTTCTGCTTCAGGCTTGAGGGTCTCATCCGCTTCATACTGCTCCTCCGCTTTAGGCTGCTGCTCCTCGGTGGATGACTTAGAGACCTCTCCTGCTTCAGGCTGCTCTTCGTGGGATGGCTCGGAAATATTTCTCGCTTCAGACTGCTGCTGTTCGGGAGGTGGCTCTGGGGTCTCTTCTGCTGCGGGTTGCTGTTGTGTGGAGGGCGCTTCGTTGTCAGGCTCTGGCTCGAGTTTGCCGCTGCTGACATCCCCTTGAATCCCTTCGAGTTCTCCCGCGACCTTCTGGCCTTTGTCGGACGGCGTCTCGGAGCAGTCCAAATCACTGCCTTTCAGCACGATGGGCTCCTCGCCAAGATTAAGCCGCTGTTTCAGGCGTTGTATCAAAGCTTTTCGAGCCCGCTGAAATTTGAGCACCTTCAGGTATTTGTGGAGTTCTGGGGGGATGCATTTCTTGATGAACGAAGGGACGGGCCAGAGAGATTCCTCGGTCAGCTCGAAAGTCTCCGGCACTGGCGCTTCAACCTCTTCTATCTCTGTCGCCATCCCGGTCGTCTCAGCAGGTTTCCCGGTCTCTTCTGGGTCTGCATGCACACACGTCCACCCAGCGAACCCACGCGTAGAGGCGAGGAGAGGCAGTTCACTTGAGTGGCCGCCATCTCACCGTCGTAGTCCATCATTTTGCCATGGATAAGAGAGATTGCTGTCTCTCTTCGACCCACTGCAAAACAAAGATGATTGCATGTTACAGCGTTACAGCGCACCTTCGTCGGATGTGCCGTTGCTGTGTACGCTCACATGATGGCAGAAGCGTGATGCCCTCCCTTCTTCTCCTCCCCCTCATGAAGCGTCGCACGAGATGAGGGCTGCTCTCGTGGACTTGAAGGCACATGGATGCCGTGATGCGGCTGTGGGCAGCAGTCCTGTTGTTGCTGCTGGTGGTTCTGTTGCTGCTGCTGATGATCGTCCCGGCGTAGCGCCTCCGCAGTGCAATGATGGCTTCTGAGGCCATAGTCAAAGCAACGGCAAGAAGGACAGTCACTCCGAGCGGAAGGACCGCGGGCATTGATCAGGCAAGCGAGCAAGTGCTTAGCTCAGCGCACAGGGATAGCATTGAACAGCGGTGAACCCCGGGCTCGATGGGGGCAATAGGCGCGGCATTTGAGACGCGCGTTGAGACGAGGAATCCATATCGGTGGTCGAGCAATGGAATCGAGAAGGCATGGGCATTGAGGAGAGCCACACATGGAGCAGTTCACACAACTGAAGCCTTGTTTCGGACCAGAGCGTTTGAAGGGGAGGACCGAAATAGCTGGCAATAAACGGACAGCGTCCACGACCCTCCAACACCTCTGCTGAACCGAAGGAGCTCAAACGCTCAATCTGGACACCCTCTTCTTTCTTTCTCAAAAAACGGCTGCTCTACGGCAATGGCCGAACCTCCGTAACCCACTCCCGACAGACCCCCTCCTGAGGTTTTCCTCTCATCCCTCCCCCCTGCCCCTCCCCTCGTCTGCAGTCACCATGTCGGACAGTGACGTGTCGACAGAGTGTGGCACCTTCGGGTCCTTCTCGTCGTCGACCTGCACCACGCCCACCACCCCGGTAGCCACAGAGAGCGAGCCGTCGCCCCGGGCCGACTCGCCGTCACTCGCGCCTTCTGTCGACGGCTCATGTGGCGGGGACGGGTGAGCGGGAAGAGCAGGGAAGGAGAACAGGGCGGGAGGGAGGCTGACTTGTTGGTTGTTTGTTTGTGTGCGTGTGTCTGCAGGGCCCAGATAGCTGCGAAAAGGAGCGGCACGTGAGCAGGGGAGAGAGGGAGGGAGGGAGGGAGGGAGGTGCTTTGAGCTATCTCTGTGTGCGTTGTCTGTCTGTGTGTGTGTTTGTGTGGTCGCCTGCAGCAAGGAGGACTTCAAGGTCAAGTATAAGACCGAGGTGAGTGAGCCAATGACATAGGCGGCAGGGAGGAAGTGAGTGAGGGCGCAAACACTTCCTGTTCTCCGCTGTTTGCCTCTGCAGCTGTGTCGGAACTGGCTGGACTACGGTCGCTGCATCCACGAGGACAAGGCAAGATCTGTTGACGAATGGCCCACCCACACTACACCACGCCACACCACACCATGCGCACCATACATACTCTGTGTGTGTGTTGCTGTGTGTGTCCGTCCGTCTTTGATGAACAGTGCACGTTTGCGCACGGTGAGGATGAGTTGCGGGCCAAGGTGCACGTGGGCCGCAAGTACAAGACCAAGAAGTGCAAGCAGTTCCACACCAATGGGTGGTGCCCATACGGCGCACGATGCCTCTTCATCCACAGGGAGTAAGCTAAGCAGCCCATGGCAACCCATACGCACCGCACCAGGCCATCCGTCGACTCGACCTGTGTGGTGTGTGTTGTGTTGTTGTCCACACCCAGGCATGGTGGCGAGTTGGTGCGTCTGCCGCTCAGTTGGCTGGTCACCCTGCACCCTGACACCGTCGGCAAGCTGCACCACACACGGTCGGCACTCACACAGACCAGACAGGCACAAGTGGCCACAACCGGCAGGCACTGTGGACATCTCTCTATCGCTCAGGTCCGGTACGCCGCTGTCGGAGCTGTTATCCCAGGACCTGCCCAAGTGGGAGGAGCAAGACGCACGCACCACCCCGCCGCCCCCGCCCTCATCCGCCATGACCGACGCGATGCGGCCCGCCAACACCCCTGCCAACGGCAGCAGCGCCGGAGGCGGCTGCGGCTCTGGGGGTGGGGGGGCAGCCCCCTCACCCACACGGTCGGAGGGCGGGTCTTCACGCGCCAAGGCAAGGGCTATTGACAGGGATGCCACGCCGCCTGGTGAGTGAGTTATGGCAGTGACGCTCACTCTAGCAGAGGGAGTTTCATTCCTCTGTGTGGCCTGTGGTGTCTTTTTTTCAGCGTTTTCCTCCGTGGCTGTGCCGTCATCCTCGTCGACGACGCCGTCAGCGGGTGTGCCGACCCCCACAGCAGCAGCGGACCTGCTCAAGCTCTTCCCAGCCCCCCCCCCCCCCCCCCCCCCGCCTCCCCCACCCGACCATTCCCTGGCCAGGCAGTCTGGCGGCTCCCTTTGTGCATCGGTATCGGCGTCAGCAGCCTGCCCCCTGGCTTTGTCGATTCTCGTGCCCACCCAGGTGCACCAGCAGCAGCTGCAGTACCCCCCACCTCCCCCGCCCCCGCCGCCGTCGTCGCCGCCCACATGTGCTGCGGCCGCTGCTGCCGCTGCTGCCGGTGTTGGTGGGTCTGGGTCTCCTGTGCATCTGGTGTCGTCGTCTCCGTTTGAGTTTTCCATGCCGATGCCGCTCGTGTTGGGCACTGGACGGGGGTGACGTGACTGACATAGCTTGCTTACTGACATATGTGAGGCGGACATGATCCATTCGATTGATGCGTACGTATCGTACGTTGGGCAGCGTATCTTATCGTATGTGTACAGGAAACATAGTCAGTCAAGGAAGGCAAGGCGCGGATCCTGGCATCGATCGCATCCTGGCTGATCAGATGAGCCAAGCCAAGCCAAGCCAGGGGTGCTGTGCTGTGCTGTGCGGTGGGTGGGTTGGTGTGAGTGGGTGGGAGTGGTTGAGAGGGGGGGCGGTGTCGTGTCTACCCATGGATCGGATCGATGCACTTTTGTACACCTGCCTGTCTGTCTGGCTTTCTGTCTGGCTGCTTGACTGTCTGTCTGTCTGTCTGTGGCCGCCCTTTTTGGTGTTGGCAATGAATCTGTGAGATGTCGCACGCCCCTCAGTCGTCAACAAGAGGATGCGATCGATGCATACATACCAGGCTCGTTTCTTACTTTGCTTTCCATTCCTTCTCATCCCTCTCTGCCTGTCTGTCTGCCTGTCTGCCTGCGTACGTATCCTTCTCGAAAGCGAGGAGGTTTTGCTTGTTTGCGGTATGTATCCATGTGTGTCTATCTATGAGTGCGTGTAAGTGCGTGTACGTCATGTGTGTGTGTGTGTGTGTGTGTGTGCTTGTTTGTCCATGCCTGTGGATGCCTGAATGAATGACCTCTATCTAACTTAACGAACGCAACACCGTGGCCACTACTAGCTAGCTGGGGGACAGAGAAAGGCGAACAGCGACGACGGCCCCCCAAAAGCGGGGGGACGCTTTGTGAGTGAGTGAGCGGGATGGACGGGCGGGCGGACGGGCGGGCTCCGCCATGGATGGATGGATCGATCGATCCGATTGGTGCGAATGAATTGGTGGCGTACGTGTACATGTATGTCTGTCTGTCTACGTGTGAGTGCGTGTGGTAGATAGTGAGTGCATGGGCTAGGCGTAATGACTGACGGGGCACTTCAGGACATCGGGGCTGCTCGCTCTGGTGTGTTGGCTTCGGTCGACCCTCGCCGAACCCCGGATGGCCACAAATTGGGGCCATCTGTCGCGGCCGAGCGAGACGGAGCGCCCCGACTGTCGTGAGTGGCTTGTCTGTAAGCGGGGGAAGCATCGCATGGCATCGCATGAGCGTGTTTGTGTACAGGGTGGGTAGTGAGTGGCACGGTTTTCTTTGTTGCGCCACTCTTTGTGGGCGAAGCGCGGCGCTTTGGGTCTGTGTGTCTGTGCGCATGTCTGGACGAGGAAAGAGGAAGGGCCGCATCGCATCGCACTCATGTTCATCGCATCATCGCATCATCGCATTATATATCGCAGGAGCTCTCAATGGCTATGGCCATAGCCAACGCACGTACGTACGTCACTGACTGTGTTTTATTTATCTGTGTTTCTGCCCGTCTGCCTGTCTGCCTGTCTGCCTGTCTGCCTGTCTGTGTGAGCGGCTGGTGTGTGTGTACGTGCTCTTGACGTGTCGTGTTGATATAAACGAACCGAAGGGAGGGAGGGAGGGAGGGGGCTACGGGGGTAAGGGGGTAGGGGGAGGGGGAGGGGTATGGGATGTTCGTTCGCCTGTTCGTTTGTCGACTCGCTTATCCGCACCGACCAATTCGATTGCCTGCCTGCCTGCCTGCCTGCCTGTCTCTTTGTGTGTCTGTCTGTCTCCTCCCTGCGTACGTGCGTGCCTTTGTTTGGTGGTCGGTCATGTGTGCAGGCAGACACTCGTACACACAAGCATACAAACAAACACCCAATTCGCTCTTTCTTTCTCTGTCTCTATCACTTTCTCTCTTGCCTCGCGACCTTCAGTCTGTGTGTGAGTCGGGTCGCCTCACCCCAAAAGCAGGGGTGGGGTGGCTCGGTTCGCACGGTTGCACACACAACACACATACACAGGTTGGTTTCTCGTCTCGTCTTCCTGTCTAAACACACATACACACACACGCACACGAACCGTGTATGAGCCTACGCATCTGCCTACACCAATCAGTCCATGTCGTTGTCTGATGTCGTCTGCCTTCTTATCTGTCTGCCATGCGTGGCGGCTGGCTGGCTGGCTGGCTGACTGTTTGTGTCCGGGCTGTCGGTCTCTCTCTCTCTCTCTCCGTCTGTGCGTCCGTGTGGTGTGGTTATTGTAGTGGTCGATGATGCATGCTTTCGTGTGTGTGCGTCTTTATGCATGGCCACCCCCACTCAGCCCACGGGCACCACATCATGGATATAGTGCTGTGTACAGCCTTGCTTCCTTGCTCTCTCTGCTCGTCCCTCCCTCCCTCCCATGATGTGGTGACCGTCCCACCCATACACACCTGCACCGCACCCGCCAGCCATCCCATCCCTCCCACATGTGCCTGCCTGCCTGCCTGCCTGCATGTGTGTGTGTGGGGGGGGGGGGTGGATGGGGCTAGCGGATATATAACACACCGACACACACGAACATCTGACTGACAGAGGACACGCCAACGCTTTATCAGTATTTATTATACATTTGATTGAATATGCCTGCAAGCGCCTGCCTGCTCATAATGTATGTCATGACGTCACGTCCGTGTGTCAAACGTTTGTGTGCGACCGAGCGATTCGTTCGTGTCATGTCATCCATCGTGTAGAGTATATCCATGTCGTGCGTGTGTGTGTTGTGAGAGGTCGACTGCGATCGACTGGTGGATGGATGGATCGATGGCTGGCGGACAGCTGCTTTATTTATCTCATCCGTGCCATGTCCCTGCCTGCCTGCCTGCTTGCCTGCCTGCCATTTGCGTGAGTGAGGTGGAGGGATGGGGGGGGGGGGGGG